GGTTTGACGGGGATTCGAATTCGCGACCCTCAGATTGCGAGTCGAGTGCCTTAACCACCTAGCCAAAAATATTCGTTACGGGGGAGACTTTATATTTTGGTCATGTTAATTTATGCATCTAAATCTTCAAACCTCTGTTTACATAATTTATGTAAAAATTATATCGTTCTTGCATAAAAAAAGTTCGTGTTCAATCATGCATCATAAATGATATTCCAATTTATTTTCATATCATAAAATACCCATCAATGTGCATTCCCGAACTCATAAACTCGCGACAGTATCGTAACTTTGGTTCTGAAAGTTATTCTGAGTGTTATTCTATCGAAAATGTATAAAAAATGTCACGAATGCTATACTGAGTCGCCCCCCTCCCAAGTGGCACGGCCGTATGTCTGCGGATTTACAACGCTAGAAACCGGGTTTCGATACCTGTGGTAAGCAGAGCACAGATAGCCCATTGTGTAGCTTTGTGCTTAACTTCAAACAAATCAAATCAAAAAGCTATACTGAGTAGTGGCACGAGTGTTATTCTATCGAAAATACATAAAAAATGTCACGACTGATATACTGAGTTGTGGCACGAGTGTTATTCTATTGAAAATATAAAAAAAATGTCACGACTGCTATGCTGAGTAGTGGCACGAGTGTTATTCTATCTAAAATATTTAAAAAAATGTCATGACTGCTATACTGAGTAGTGCACGAGTGTTATTCTATTGAAAATATAAAAAAAATATCACGACTGCTATACTGAGTAGTGACACGAGTGTTATTCTGTCGAAAATATAAAAAAATGTCACGACTGCTATGCTGAGTAGTGATAATTTGAAGAAATTATTGCGAAAGGAATGTTTTAGTACTGTTACAATGTGTGGAGAACATTTCTCCATTGTTGAAAAAGAGGAGAAACGTCTCCTCCATGTCCTCCGTGTCAAATCATGCCTTTTTTCAAAGTGTTTTTAGTTTTATCACGACTTTCTTATAGTTGCTAACTGCGTGGGAAAGCTGCTACAGCTTCACTGATTCTAAATTAATATTTTAAAAAATGCTTAAGTCCTTGTTGAGCATTTATTAAAACATTTTAATTTGAATTTCAGCTACATCGTGGTTACTTAATTGCGTGGAAAGTGCTGAATATAGAGATTCAGTAGGAAATTAAGTAATAACGCCAAAGCTGAAAAAAACACACACCCAAAAACAACAACTTGTTTTTACGTAAAAGCTCGTTATGAACCAAATGTTCAAGTGAAAACTTATAATATTTATTATCAGCAAATGTTTAATATTTAGATATAAGTACCGTGATTTCACTTTTAGAAATATATTTATATATTAATAATATTTTTACTGAATTCATTTGGAGTATTTCGTGAAGTAGAACTAAACGCTTATACGATGGATTAGTCGACTTATTGCAAATAGAAAAATCACGTGTAATTAACAAAATTTTATGACTGTATACTTTGTTGTTTTGCGTTTAGTAAATGACAGAAACTACATGACGAACTTCACTTTCCTATCTGTCACTCACAGTCACGTACTTATTTGCAGTGTTATCAATCATGGTGCGATTATCACGTACTTATTTGCAGTGTTATCAATCACAGTGCGATTATCACGTACTTATTTGCAGTGTTATCAATCACAGTGCGATTGTCACGTACTTATTTGCAGTGATATCAATCACGGTGCGATTGTCACGTACTTATTTGCAGTGTTATCAATCACAGTGCGATTATCACGTACTTATTTGTAGTGTTATAAATCACAGTGCGATTATTTTGTACATGTAAATGTAACTACAGAGTATTTAAACAAGCTACGAAGGTGAATGACAGTTAAATATGCCGTTTAAGAACAACGAAAGTTGCATCATTAAACTGATGAATAACATTTACTA